TTGGTCTAGGACAGTTTTCCCCAGCTGATGCCCTCCAGATGTGTCAGACTGCAGCCAGGCATGACAGCAGCTATAATCCAACCCATCTGGCTGGGCGGGCTTACACTTGTGACTCACCAAATCAAAGATAAGCCATGTGTGCCAGCCCACAAGGGACTAAAAAGAACCTAAATTTGGTACCCCTCTGAAGACTACAAAAACAGGACTGGAGGAAAGGTTTTCAAGTACTTGGTAGGTCAACTTGAGGATCTAATAGAAGCTTCAAACAGGTTATTACTGGCAAAGGCAACTAGATTTTTTATATTGTTCAAGGCACTTCTTCATCTATTTCTTTTACACTGTAGCAGATGTAAACAGAACCTCAAAAAGAAAAGAAAAAAAATCCAGCCACCATGCAATATCCTTCTACATCTACTTCTCTAGCTGTAGAAGGAAAGGAAATTCCTGCCTAACTTTTCAATTGAAAGGGAGCGGCCTGATCAGCTAGCAGCAGCTGTGTAAGGATGATTAATTCTGGTTCTTGACTTGCAGCAGAGCAGAGCAAGCTGCTCCAGCTGGTCTGAGCAGCCAAGCTCCCAGGGAGCAAGCAAGCAGAGAAAGCATCAGGAGACTGGTGGTGGAGTTTGGCAGAGGAGGTCAAAGGGGAGGTGCCTAACTTTTTTTTTTCCTTTTCTCTTCTTTCTGTTCCCTTAGTCACCCCCTCTCCACACACACACACACACACACACACACACACACGTTTTCCTTCTTGTAACATGCTTCCATCTACTAGAAGGACTGTGTTAACCTTTAGTGAAGACAGGAGAAAGCGCCAGTTGTCACAACAGTCCCCCAAGACAGAATCACAGAGGTCACACAGACAAGGGATGGAGAAGACTCCACATTGGTGGTGACCTGCTACAATTGTGTAATGTTGGTTTTCTTACCTGAGGGCAACATGGGCTACACATGCAGCAAGTGCAATCTAATACCCCTGCTAGAAGAAAGGGTGAGAGCAAGTGTCCACCCTCAAGGGAATAAAAGAAGATTAAGAGTTTTTAGACAGAGTGGAAGAGTTGCAACAGCTAAGTGTAGTCCAGAAGCAAGAACTGCATTAACAAGCTGAGGCAGAAGGGAACCCCTGAGGGAAGGGAAAATGGGAAAACTCTATGGAACAGAGTGACAGATGCAAAAGAACCAAAAGACACTCTGCACCAGTGGAAGCAGTATAACTCTCAAACCGCTTTAAGTTACTTGAAGAAGAGATGCGTGAGAAACCCACTGTGAATGAACTATATGACACACTAGGTAACTCCAAAAAAAGAGATAAAAGGTCAATCAAGGAGAAAGATATTAAAATGTGCAAGGACAAAAGGAGAAGAGTGATAGTTGTGGAAGATTCCCTGTTGTACAAGATGGAAAAAATATGTCATTGTGACCCAGAGAATCTCCCAGTATTCTGTCTTCCTGGAGCCAAGATTAATGATATAACCAATAAGTTCACACATCTCATATAACCCACTCATAAATACCCCTCCTTCTCATCCACATGACACTGCCAGGAGAAGTGTTGAAAAAATAGCATCAGACTTTGAAGCTCTAGGGAGGAAAATCAAGAACATTGGGCCCCAGATAGTCTTCTCCCCAATCCTACCAGCACATGGAAAAGGAACTGTTAGGGAAAGAAAAATCCTTCAAGTGAATGACTGGCTACGATGGCATTGCCGTAAAGAGAGAGTTAGATTCTGGAACCACAAGCTACGTAACGTTCCTGGAAGACGGACTATTGGCAAATGATGGGATGTACCTCCCAAAGAATAGAAAGCATGTGTTTGGTCACTACATGAAAAACTTAATCAGGAGGGCTTTAAATTGAAGCATACAGGAGAGGGAGATGTGCAGCAATGACATACCATCACCTGATAAAGACTTGTGTATTTCAACAAAGAAAAACCTCCAGCAAACCTAACATCAGTCTCCCAAAAAAGTAGGAAGAAGACAAGGGCACAATGATAATGAACTTTGATGTCTCTACACCAATGCCCAGAACAGGGGAAATAAACAGCACAAACTTGTATTCATAGCACATGAGGGCAATTGTGATCTTATATGAATAACTGAAATTTGGTGGGATGACTCACATGATTGAACTCCAGAAAAATAAAAAGGACAAAAATGGAGATGGAGTTGCACTATAAGAGGAACATATATCTACACAGAAATACAAGAAGAGGAACTTAGTATCCCCATCAAAAGCATTTGGCTTAATTTAAAGGGAGCAAAATGGGGGGAAATAGTTATTTGGCATCTATTACCAACTACCCAGTCAGAAATAGGACAAGGCTGCAATCTTTAAAAAGCAATTTGCTAGCATTTGCTAGCATTTGCAAAAAGAATTATGTAGCCATCATGGGGGACTACAGTTTCCCTGATATATGCTGGGAGACCATTTCTGCCAAACATGGTCCCTCCAAGAGATTCCGGACATGTGTAGCCAACAGCTTCTTCCAGCAGAAAGTAGAGGGAGGAATGAGAGGAACAGCTATTCTCAATTTAATGCTAACAGGGATGACACAGTAAACTAAATAGCAGCCATGGGAACCCCGGGAGAAACCATGCAATACTTGAATTCGCAATTATAAAGGAGACAAAGGTTAATTGCAGCCAAGCATGTACCCTGATCAAGAAAAACAACTTGAGCTAGCTCAGAACAATAATAAGCAAGGTGCCACGGCAACTCACACTTATACGAAGAGGAGTCTAAGAGGGGTGGGAAATCTTGAAAAAGAAGATTCTCCAAGTACAACTATGAACAATTCCAACAAGAAAAAAGTAAAGAAGACAACAGGGGAAGCCCATGTGGCTCCACAAAAAGCTGATAACCTGAAAGAAAAAAAAGAACATGTACAGGAGGTGGAAGCAGGACCAGGCTACAAAGGAAGAATATAAACAAATAGCAAGGAATTGCAGGGACTGCATCAGGAAGCTTAAGGCAGGAAATGAACGTAGACTAGCAAGAGATGCTAAGAACAACAAGAAAGCCTTGTTCAGATACATCCGAAACAAAAGACATGAGAAAGAGAAGGGTGTCAAGCTACTTAAAGTGGATAGCAAAGTGATAACAGACAACAAGGAAAAGGCAGAGGCACTCAAGTCCTGCTTTGCCTCAGTTTTCTCCCGCAAGGAAATGCTGAAGCTGAAAGTGAGAGATGGCAGCCCGAGATTGACAGGTCAAGAAATATTCAGATGGAATACACATGTCCAAATCACCAGGGCCCAATGAATTCCATCCCAGAGTAATAAAAGAGCTAGTGAGGGGAACTCTCAGAACCACTGTCTAGTATCTTTGATAAATCCTACAAAACAGATGACTGATGAACCTGAGAACTACAGACCAGTTAGTCTGACATCGGTCTCTGGAAAAAATTTGGACTAAATTATTAAAAAAATCAATCTGGAAGCATCTTGAAGAAAATGCTGTTATTAATAAAAGCCAACCTGGATTTATCAAAAATTAATCCTGTCAGACTAATTTAATCTTATTTTTTGACTAATCTCCCAAATGAACAGAGGGAACACAGTGAACATAATCTACCTAGACTTTAGCAAAGCTTTCAACATAGTGTCTCAGGACACTATGACATTCTGATAAACAAATTAACAAGAATTGGACTAGATGAAAAACTATAAGGTGGATTCAAAATTGGACACAAAGAATGTTCATCAATGACACCTTCTCAGATTGGATGGAGATAACTAGTGGGGTGCTGCAGGATTCATCCTAGGCTAAGTGCTCTTCAATATTTTATTAATGATTCATATGGGGAAGTACAAAGAAAGATAATCAAATCTTCAGACGATATAATACTGTGTAGAATAGCGAACACCCTACAAGACAGAATGAAGATTCATGGTGATCCTGATAAACTTGAATGCTAGGCTGAAAGCAACAGAGTGAGATTCAGAAGGGACAAATGCCAAGTCCTCTACCTAGGAAAAAGAAACAAAATGCATCAATACAAGATGGGGAATATGTGGTTCATCAGAACTGAAAAAGACCTAGGAGTTATTTTGTGGACTGTTGGCTAAATATGAGCCAACAATGTGATACAGCGACAAAAAAAGGGCAAATACTATTTTGCAATGCATTAATATAAGTGTTATTTCCAAATCACAAGAATTAATAGTTCTCCTATACTCTTCACTAGTCAGACCCCATCTGGAATACTGTGTCCCGTTCTGGGCGCCAAGATTTAGGAAAAATGTAGAAAAATTAGGAAGGGTCCAGAGGAGGGCAATAAAAATGATCCAGACTGTGGAAACACTGTTCTGTGAGGAGAGATTGAGAGAATGTTCAGCCAAGAGAAGAGAGGAGAGGAAAGGAGAGGAGAGGAGACTGAGGGGAAACATGATATCCCTATGTAAGTACTTCAAAGGCTCTCACAAAGAGGAAGATAAAGATCTTTTATTGCTCATGCTAGAGTGCAGGACACTGAATGCTCAACTCAAGTTGCAACAACCCAAATTTAGGCTAGATATGAGGAAAGGTTTCCTCACTTGTCAGAGCAATATGCCGAGAGAGCTCAAGAGCTCTTCCACACTAAAGACATTCAGAAAGAAACTGGACAGGCATCTGAATGGGATGGTGTAAATAGGTTGGACTCGATGGCCTTCATGGCCCTTTCCAACTCTAGTATTCTATTTTCTAAATTTGGTCCTCTCTCTACCTTACTCTTTTTTAAATTTCCACAGTGAGCACATTTTAAATCGTTGAAGCCAGGTGATTCTCATTTGCAGAACTTGGCAGCATGCTTGCAAAATGCAGAAATGTTTTAATGATAGCATTTGCAGTACAGTGCTTTTTCAAATATCTAGTTTTGCAAAGTTCTCTGGTTCCTTGGCATATAGGTGTCTCGCATGCAGTGTGTTTCAACATGGAAAACAAAAAGTCTTCCTGGATGCAGAACATTAAGGTTGTCCTTCTGGTTGCCTTGTGCCACCAGGGCTGCCTGCAAGACACCCTACACTTCAGTCCCTTCCCGGGTATAGATGAGGCTATTAACAGTGAAGTTGTATAAGTGGTTGTACTGCCCTGACTGGCCACTACTGCCAGGATGGAACGGGCTGTAATAGGCACTAGCAGGCCCAGAAATGCGTTGCAGTTGCTCAGCGGAAGGAACTTCCTGGGTGAAGCTACTGCCACTCAGTGGGCCGGCAGGGAGATTTCGGTGATGCAGCTCAGCGCCGAGGCGGTTCCCGTTGCTCAGTGAGTTCATTCCATTGAAAAAGCTACTGAGGCAGCTGGGGGCAGGTGAGACGATCACAGGCGGAGAGGCACTCTTTGCATGGTCCCTCAGAGAGGCCACGGACTCCAGCTCAGCAGAAGGACTTTCACCACAAGGCTTTCCTGGTGCCAAAGATATGGAGTGCCCTTCCTCGGTTTTTAAAGTCCCCAAGGCAGAAACAGTGGGTGCCGCTGCTGAGGCAGCAGGATCAGAGCGCCTCTTACGCTTGCGACGAAAATTCCCATTGTCAAACATTTTCTCACAGTTTGGGTCCAATGTCCAGTAGTTCCCCTTTCCTGAAGGATGAAAGAGAACAGGAGTTGAAAAAGGAACCCTTTCCTGAATTAGTGGAAAAACACACCTTCCCCAGGTATTACTTAGCTATGTCAGTGCATCTGGATCTGAATGGCATACCAAAGAGAAAAAGAGGAAGGGCAAGCCTTCTAACAAATAAAACTAGAAAAAAATAGATATATTAGTCATAAAACTTTTTTAAAAAGAAAGATTGGGGCTGTCAATCAACTAAAGCATTCTGAGTTGATTAATCTATCTTAAAACTAGACAACCAATCAATTATTTAATTTTATAAAACTTGCATATCACTAAACCTTTAATATGTATCTTTTCTTTAGATGGCAAGGGAGCCTAAGAAAATACTATTTATTATATTTTCTTTTTCATTCTCTTTTTCTTTTTTATTATGTCAACTAAAAGAGTTCCCCTTCCAAGAGTAAATCTGAGTGCCCTTTAAAACTGACTTCAGACTGATCAACCAACAATTAAGCACTGGAGATCTAGTCTACTATATGTAAAAATGAAAGCCACAATTCATCTATGAAAACATGGCTTTCAGTTAAAGCCAGAAGGCTCTTAATTTAAGTTTCCATTGTATTAGAACTGTGTTCTGAAGGTAACTGAGGAGCCCACATATTGTGTCGAAGAAATAAACAGCATCTGGTCTATATGATTCTATCGTTTGTGGCTTCCAGGATACAGGGCTTTTAGTTACTGATATTTGCATCTCCCCTTTATCAAGAAGAAGTGGGGCTGCACATCCACAACTTTGAGGAAGTCTCCCACAATGCACAGTGGCTAAATCAGTGCAATGCAGTGTTTGCGGCATCCTGTGTACTTGTTAGGGGATCTAGACTGCTGGACCAAATTGCAGGATAAAAACTGTGATGCTCTCCATCAGTGTACACCACCATGCAGAAGGTGGTGGGCCATGACTCAAGTATTTTCTCAGCAGTCAGATCTGAGAAGACTTTGGTATGAGATCTGCCTAAGCAATTAAAAAACAACATTGCTAAGGCTTTATGTGGCCCTTGGCTTTCCTGCAGACAAAAACAGACAACTGTGGCCAGCTTCATGCCAGCCTATTTAGAAGCATGTTGGTGCCAGAAATGACCTCAGAAAATTTCCATGTATAATGCCAGCTTTGTTCCCTCTAATTTTAAACTGACACTTTATTTATTTATTAAATTTGTATAAAAGCTGCCTATTCGCATCATGCTCTTTGGGCAATCATTAAAATAAAATTAAATTACTTTATATTGTTTGTGGCTTATAACATTCATTTTATTGACATTTGCTAGTTAGTCTAACTCTCTCACTTCCTTGGTCTGAGAATCTGATCTCATGTTAGGATAAATTTGCTAACGAGCCACAAAGCTATATCATGGTTTGGACCCACCATTCATAGTAGAGGAACTGAACGTGTTCTCCCTCTACTTCCATGCCTGAACCCACTGTGACCACACTCATCCCTACAGGCAGCGGCTTTATGGTTTCAATATTATAAACAGGGAGTAACTGCACACACAAAGTCAGGATTAGTAGTTTCAGCACTATTCAGACTTGAACCCTTTATTTATTTTCACTTCATAAGGAAAACCTCATTCTGTTCTAGAAAGGTTTCACTGCTACATGAGCTAACAGTAAAAGCCCTATTAGCAAATGCTAAGCATTCATAATCATAAGTGATGAAACATCTCAGCCCCAGTGTTGAAGTATGAACACCTAAGCAACCATGCAAAGAGAAGGAAAGTACACACACACACATACTTTACTCCAGGTAATCACCTAAAACGCATAGATTTTCAATGAAAGCCAAAGCAGATCCTTGAAGACAAGGTTGTTGACTTGGAGAGGCTAAGAAAGGCAGAAAGATTGACCAACCAGGCCTTTGGGGACAAACAGTGTATTCCCAATTCCTGGATGATAAGTGCCCATCTGTCTTGAAAAATGGAGGTCTTGGGGAATGAGAGTGTCATTCCAAGGAAGAGTCTCCGTGTACAGATGTAATAGTGGTGTACAGAGGATGTTTTCAGACTCCTTAGCCACTGGGGAACATTTTGGGATAACCTGGGCCTGTTCAAGAGAGTCTGGTTTCATCTGAACTAAAACGGAACCAGATTCTGACACAAAACATGAAAAAGTGGCAGAGCAGCTTTTCAACTGAACTTGGGGGGAACACTGACAGGTGCTGGAAAGCATCCAGTTTGGGTGAAATCATCTCTAGAGGATAAAAGCAACAACAACAAAGTTTCTGATTACCCAAAAGTAGGAAAGGTGGAAACAGGCCATGGGAATAACCAGTCCAAGAGGCCTACATGCAAAAACAAAAATTGTGTATGACAGAGATGTCTAGAGAGGATTGAATACATAGGTGTTGCTATACAACTACTAGGAACCTCAGAGCCATAAAAGGAGAGCTGGAGTGTGTGAATTTAATGGAGACTCTATATATAGTGGGCACTATGGAAATCTGGTGGAATGGAGAGAACCATTCCATGGGGTATGGTCATCTCTGGATATAAACTGCACTGGAAGGGCCAAGAACAGCATATTGGAGCTGCTGCTGCCCTGTACCTCTGCTGAATATAGAGTCCAACAGATGCAAAAACAAAGTCTCTTTCACAGAAACTCTGAGGTTGACAATACCTGGCTCCAAAACTAATTTAGTGCTTGGAACATGGCGCTGTCCCCTAGACCAAAATGCTCAGGGTGATCTTGAAATGCAAAATGAAATCAGGTAGGCCTGTAAATGTTAAAGTGTTTGAATAAGGGGTGACTTCAGTTATCACCCATGGACTGGATAAATGCTTGTTCCAGTTCTAACAAAGAAGTTAGATTTCTCAATGTCCTAAACAACTGTGCCCTATAACGAACCAGTCCTGGATTTAATCCTGGAAGGTAGTGGTGGGGAGGTTGTTCAGGATGTCACATGTGATAAATATTGTGCAACCAACGGTGCTATGAGATTTAAGTAGAAAATTGCCAGAAAGGTCACACATGGTTACATCTGACTTCAAAAGAGGGAATTACTCTAAAATGAGGGAACTGGGGTTTGCAAGGGGGATTCAAGAATAGTAAAGTCCTTTGCACTGCGTGGAGATCACACAAAACACAATAACAGAAGCTCATATAGCATGTATATGACAAAGTAAGGAAAGATAGCACCAAGTCCAGGAGATCACCAGCATGCTTGACAAGCATTGTTGCAATGGAAAGCCGCCAGGGATTCCCGCAACCAAATGGGCAAAATTCCACCCAGAATTTCCCTGGTGCTTCAGTCCAGGACCAGTCACTGGATGCAGCACATGGCATGCCCAAGCTTGGGGAACAAACGGATAAAATATTGGGGTGAAGGATTCTAAAACATACAAACTAAAAACGATTAAAACAGGTTAAACTGGGGGAAGGAAGGGAGAAGGGGAGATTGGACAGCAGCATCTTTACAGTGTACAGCCAACCAAGAAACTCCAGCTCCGAGGACCTTGTTGGCCCACTCAGAAAGAAAATAAGAAATCTAAATTCTAGCCTCAACTAGGACTGAGGTTCTACACACAGAGGTTCTACCCTCCACAGACTGAGGATATACAGGGTAACACAGCAAGCTTCAACACAGAGCAAGAGCAGCAGACCGGAACTTCACAAGAAAGGAACCAAGGCACTTTTTCTCTCCTGGTTTTATTCCCACCCACCGCCAGCCTAGGTGAGCTGACCTGTAGGATGACAGCTGATCTCTCAGTCCTTAGGGCCAGTCATTCATTCCAGGCACCAGATGTTAGCAGGCCATAGCTGTTACCTTTGGCATCCTTGAGGTCACAATTTTAGATAGTTCTCTTCACAAAGAGAGGAGAATGACTGGATTTACAGCATTTTCCCAGTTACAAAATTAACCCTTCCCTTGCTTTCTTGGAGCCCACCAGCCAGTTCATGTTACAAGTGTCAAGGAAGCTATTAGAGAAAAGGCAGTTTTCTTCAGAAAATGTAGGGGTTGCCCAAATGAAGAAAACAAAGGGGAGTACAAGACTGCACAAGGGAGATGCAAGCAGCCAATAAAAGAAGCAACTAAATAAATAATTGAGGACCATATTGCAGATAACATCAATGCCAGCAACAAATAATTCTTTAAATATGTCAGAAGATGGAAACCAGCTGGAGAGCCCATTGCACCATTGGATGAAAGTGGAATTAAAAGGAGCCCTAAGGAAGGCTAAGTTGATTTCAGGGAAGCTGAATGAATTCTTTTCACCTGTCGTCATAGCAGAGGATGCAGAACAGATTACAGTTCTTAAACAGACTTTTTCAGGGAGGAAGTCTGAGGAACCAAGACACTATAAATAATAGTGTGAAAAGATGAACTTATCAGCCTTATTGACAAGGCTGTCAAAGTGAAGGTTAATAAATCACAAACCTAGAAGGTATCCATCCTAGAGTTCTTAAATAATGCAAATAGGACATTGCTGGCTTTCTGTAAAAGATACATAACTTATCCCTAAGTGGATTGGAGACCTGGCCAATGTTAAACCAATTTTTAAGAGATGGGGAGGGGATCTGGGAAATTACAGATCAGTCTGTTTAATATCTGTTATGGGTAAACTGGCTGAAAAATATTAAATATTGAATAGTCAGCACACAGAGGGAAATGCACTGCTGAAAATGATTCAGCATGGCTTCTGCAAAGGTAAATCTTATCTCACTAATCTTTTACAGTTCTTTGAGTGTGTCAATAATCATATGGACAGGTGTAACCTGGCAGACACTGCTTATTTGGGCTTCTGAAAGTTCTCACTAAAGTCTCTCCAGAAAACCTAGAAGTCATGGAATAAGAAGGGTGGCCCCCTTATGGGTGGGTAACTGGTTAAAGAAAAGAAAGCAAAGAATGAACAGTAACTTCTTCCAATGGAGGGATACAAGTAGTGGGGTACAGAGATCTGTACCAAGACCAATACTTTTCAACATATTCATAAATGATCTGGAATTGGGAGTGTGATGATGTAGCCAAGTT